ACCACAAACTTAGTCGAGGCCTCAAATCATATCAAACAACGCGAAAAACACGAATCACACCCCAATTTGAGTTTAATGAAACTAAGAAATTCCAATTTCTACATTCGATACCGAAACCTATCAAATCACGTCTGATTGACATCAAAGTTTGCACACAAGCCACATTCGATAGTACGGATGTACTCCAACTTCCAGAATCGAAATCCGACCCCGATATCAAAAAGTACACTCCCAGTCAAACTTCTCAAAAACCTTCAAATTTATAACTTTCGCCAAATGACCCTGAAATGACTTACGGACCTCCGAATCCACTTCTGGATGCGCTCCCAACACCATAATCACCATACGAAGCTTTTCCCTCACTCGGAATCCCAAATGGACATTGACAACATTGAAATGCACTTCAACCCAAATTTATGAAATTCTTCCAAAATGCTAACTTCCACAATAGGCGCTGAAACGCTCCCAAGTCATCCAAAACCCGATCCGGACATACGCCCAAGTCCAAAATCATCATACAAACTTGTTGGAACCTTCAAATTCCGATTATGGGGTCGTTTACTCAAAAATCACACTTTAGTCAATTTCTCTAACTTAAAGCTTCCAAAATAAGAATTTTCTTTTCGAATCAACTCTGAACTTCCCGAAATTCAAATTTGACCACGCATGCAAGTCATAATATCTGAAGTGAAGCTACTCAGGGTCTCAAACCGCTGAATGACACACTAGAGTTTAAAACGACCGGTCGGGTCGTTACACCGATGATATTAAAATTTGAGACAACCTTATTATTTGTGGCATAATAGATAAACTTTCACCTTCATGGAAGGACTTTCAAAAAACTATGCGCCACAGACAAAAAGAAACTTCACTTGAGATGTTGATAATGTGGATTCGCATGGAAGAAGAGGCAAGAGGCCAAGATGCACTTATGCAATCGGAAGAGAGCACTCTACAACCCGTCACTACAAAGGTAAATTTAATTACTTCAAATAATATTACTCCTGAAACCCACAAAAATACTTTTTTGAAGCCAAAGAAGAAGACTTTAAAAAAATTATGGTAGACCTTCCAAGAAGAATAATGGTGCAAACAATAAAGCACAGAATCAACAAGTTCAAATTGTGAAACCATGCTTTGTCTGTAGCAAGAATGGGCATATTGCTTGATTTTGCAAATTTGGAAACGTGGTCTAACACCACAGGCAAACGTTACCGAAGAGCCACTTCTGGCGGTGATAACAAACATTAACATGGTTGTAAATGTTGATGGATGTTGGGCTGATTCTGGAGCAAATTGTCATGTTTGTTATAATAAAGATTGGTTTAAAATGTATACTCTATTTAAGGAGCCCAAAACCATCATGCTTGGTGATTCTCACACAACCCAGATGCTCGAAAAAGGAGAGGTCGATTTGAAGTTTACTTCAGGAAGAGTATTAACGTTGAAAGACGTACTTTATACTCCTTCAATGAGAAAAATTTAGTGTCTAGTTTTCTTCTTAACAAGGTAGGCTTCAAACAAATTATTGAGAGTGATAAATATGTAATAGTGAAAAAAAGTATTTTTGTGGGTATGATGTATGCATGTGATGGGATATTCAAGTTGAATGTTGAGATGAATAAAACTTCTTCTAGTTCTGTTTATATGTTTTCTTCTACTAATTTTTGACATGCTCGTTTGTCACATATTAATAATCGTTATGTGAGAATCATGAATAGTTTAGGATTAATCCCAATGATTAAAAAGAATTTTGAAAAATGTGAGGCTTGTAGTAAAGCTAAAATAGCTAAAAGACCTCATTTTCAAGTTGAAAAAAAACTGAATTATTAGAATTAGTTCACATTGGTATTGGTGAACTTGGAGGAATTTTAACTCACGGAGGAAATAGATATTTTATCACATTTATTGATGATTTCTCTAAGTACACATATATTATTTGATGAAAAATAAAAGTGATGCAATTGAAATTTTTAAAAATTATCTCCATATGGTTGAAAATCAATTTGGTAGAAAAATAAAAAGAATTAAAAGTGATAGAGGCCGTGAATATGAGCCTACTGAATTTAATTCTTTTGTTAGATCATTGGGAATAATTCATGAAACTATGCCCCCTTATTCTCCTACATCAATTGATGTGGCTGGAAGAAAAAGTAAAACTTTGGTAGAATTAACTAATGCCATGCTCATTGAGTCAAATGCACCTTTAAATTTGTGGGATAAAGCTATTTTGACTGCATGTTATGTGAAAAAATCACAAGCCAAACTTGAGTTATCTGAGAGTTTGGGGCTGTTTAGCCTATGTTAGGCTAGCGGATTCTCAAATTACAAAATTTGGTAAAAATTTTACCACTTGTGCTTTTCTTGGTTATGCTTCTAATAGTACAACCTATAAATTTTTAAATCTTGAAGAGAATATAATCTTTAGTCTATACCTAGTTCTTCTAATTCTATTTTCCAAAATGAAGAAAATGATACTTTTAAGTTAAAAAGAAATAAAAGAGCTAGAACATAAACAGATTTTGGTCCTCATTTTTATGTTTTTAATATTAAAAATGACCATCTTACTTTACAAGAAGCTTTATTATCACCTGATGCTATTTTTCTGGAAAGAGGCTGTAGATGATGAAATGGAGTCACTAATTTCTACTAAAACTTGGAAGTTGGTTGATTTACCATCAGGTTGTAAAACAATTGGGTGCAAATGGGTCTTAAGAAAAAAGTTAAAATCGGATGAATCCGTTGATAAGTATAAAGCTAGGTTAGTTGCTAAAGGTTTTAAGAAACTAGAAGGCCTAGAATTTTTTGATACTTTTTCTCCGGTAACTAGAATTACAACCATTAGACTTTTTAATTGCTATTGCTGTAATTTTTGATTTGCATATTTATCAAATGGATGTAAAAACTATTTTTTTAAATGGGGACCTAAGTGAAGAAATTTATATGGATCAACCTGAGTGCTTTATAAAAGCAGGCCAAGAAAGTAAAGTGTGTAAACTTATTAAATCCCTATATGGCTTGAAACATGCACCTAAGCAATGACATGAAAAGTTTAATTCCTACGTGATTGAAAATGATTTTAAATCAAATGAGTGTGATAAGTGCATCTATCATAGGTCTTGGAATTATTCACATATAATTATTTGCCTCGATGTTGATAATTTGTTAATATTGAGCTTTAACATGAATGTTATTAGAGAAACTAAAAGCATGCTTAGTAGCCATTTTGACATGAAAGATTTGAGTGTGGCAAATTCTTGGAATGAAGATTACTAGAACATGTGATGGAATTTTCCTTGACCAGTCACATTATGTTGAGAAAATTTTAAAAAAATATAATTTTATTGATTGCAAGCATGTTGTAACCTCTTTTGATTCAAGTGTTCACTTTTTTTTTGTACAAAGTGATAATGATGTGATAAATCAAAAGGAATATGCTAGCTTAATTGGAAGCTTGAGATATGTGACTGATTGTACTCGGCCTGATATTGTATACACAATAGGAGTACTTAGCAAGTTTACAAGCAAGTCAGATAGTGAACATTGGCATGCCATAACAAGAGTTATGAGGTATTTACTTGGTACAAAAACCTATGGCTTATTTTATAAAAAATATCCTGCTGTATTCGAAGGCTTTTCTGATGTAGATTAGAACACTTTATCTGATGATTCCTGTTCTACTACAGGTTATATTTTTACTTTGGGAGGTGGTAAAATTTGTTGGAAATCGAAAAAGCAAACAATAATTGCTAACTCTACCATGGAGGCTGAGCTAATTGCTTTAGCTTCAGCTAGTGAAGAAGCGAATTGGTTGAGAGATTTATTATTTCAAATTCCTTATTTTGAAAAACTAATTCCTCCAATTTTAATTCATTGTAATAGCACCGTTGCAATTGGTAGAGTACAAAACTGTTATTACAATGGTAAATCCAGACCTATAAGGAGAAAACACAGTACTATGAGATTATATTATACAAGTGACACCATTAATGTTGATTATGTTCTTGTGATAATCTTGCAGATCCACTGACCCAAGCCTTAGCAAGAGAAAGGGTCTGGAGCATATAGAGGGGGATGAGATTGAAGCCCATAAGCTCATAAGTCACATATAAGAAAGCCAACATGGGGGCTAGAGATTCTATAACCAGGTTCAATGGGAAGAACGAATCATATGATGGCTTGGTTCGAAATGCACTATTTTTTTATTATTGTTCCATCCCTACGGTGTGTGTGCATTTATCCTGTAATGATTTGCGAGGTTGAGTTTTATTAACTCTTAATGAAAATCTGTAGCTCGTATGAGTGAGATATTAGAGTTACAAGAGCACCCTTGATAGATTTCACCTATGTGAGTGTGGAAGTAGGCCGCTTCCTATGAGAATTGGGCTTGTTCTAAAAAATACTCATGAAAATTGGGATAACACAAGGCCGTAATGTGCTGGCTGTGAACACGTGATTTTTGCCCTATATGAATTGCTCCTATAAAATCAAATGAAATAGATTTTTTCCAATTATTTGCCATTTTATAGGATTTTGTAGGATTTTTATTAATTGTTTGCATTTTTATGCACGTTTAATTTTCATTTTAATTATGAATACCAAAATATCATGTATTTGCATTTAGGACTTAATTTTACATTTTTTAGATTAATTAGTAATTTAGTGTTTTACAAAAATGAAAAATCACAAAAAAATAGCTCATTTTTACATTTTTTGTCTTTTAATTTTTCTCTTTTAATTTAGGATTAAGTAGCTTTTATAATTTTTATACTTAACTAATTATCTTACTTTCATATTTTTAGATAATTTAGGATTTTTTAATTTGTAGAATTTTAATTAAAAGAAAAGGGAAAAATTAGAGAATAAAAGAAAGGAAATTAAAAAAAAAGAATTTAATTTGAATTTGGGCCAAATCCTATACCCAAATCTGCCCAAAACCAAGCCCCACCCGCCAGGCCCAATTCCCCCACATTAAAATAACCTAGGAAAAGACCTAGGGAGGGGGCAAAAAAAAGAAAAAGGCGCAGCTTCCCCAGGCTACAGGCTGCTTCTTCATTTTTCCTCAAAACAACAGAGAACCCCTTCGAAGAAACAGGGCAGCGGCGACTCCCATTTCTCTTCTCCCTCATTTTCTCGCTGGTATCAGTCAAGAACCAAACAAACGACCCTCCATTACTGTCCGGCGAAGCAGAGCAAACCCAGCTGAAATAGTTTTTAATTAAAGAAAAACAAAAAAAAAAACGAAAAATGGCTTTGAAAAAGGATAATAGCATGGTTAACTTTCCGGGTTCGAAGCTCTGTTGATTGTTGTTCGATTCTGCTGATTTTACTGCTGTATTGTTGATTTGCGGAGCTTCATTTCCGGGTATGTTTATTCGTCTTTGAGCTACTGTTTCAACTCGATTCGGAATGGTCAAATGTTAATTATTGAATTTGTGAAACAATTGAACTTTGTTATTCATAAAAATGTGATTCAAATTCTATATCAATCCGATTTGTATTTTCTATTCTCGCTATCTATGTTTTTTTTTGGTTCTTTTTGTCGTTTGAGGATTTTGAAGGACAAACGCCGCTGGTTTCATATTCAATTGTTAAATCTAGCACGTCTATTTGAGTTGTTAGATGTTAAGGGATAATTTGGGTGTTTGTTGTTGGTAATTAGTCGTTGTTAGAATTTCATTTGCAAAGCCACAGATTTGTCGTTTGAGTGGTTTGAAGAATTGAATGTGTTCATTTGAAATGAGCTCTGAAACTGTAATATGTGCTTTAGCTATGTTAAACTATTTTGTTTGTTCTACATTTATTTTATCTCTTCTTATAAGATGGATATGTCAGTTTCTTTGGGTAATTTTCAAATATGGATGGCAAGCTTGAAGGTCAGTTTATTCGATTTGTCCGGTTAGTTCCGAATTTGATTTAAAATTTAGTGGTGTTGAATGCGCAATTGCTGACAGGCCACAGGGATTTGAACTTGTTAACGAATCAATAGCTAATCCATTTTTCACAATTGACTTCCATATCCCATGGCCTTGCAATAATCTCAAGTAGTTTAGAAGAATTAAAATAGAAGCACCTTTGGCTTGCCTTTAAAATATATAACCTTTTTTCTTAAAATAATTTGAGGCGCGCCATGCCAAATAAAATCTCAAACGCATGACCCTCACTTAATTAATTTCAATCCTTTAGAAATCTTGAATTTTCCATGGCCCTCGCAAAGTTGAAAGTGCGTAGTTGCTTTAGGCGCGCTATGTTAAAAATTACTTTCCTAAACTCGGGTGTGCATTTCATGTGACCTAAATCCAATCTCAACAACGTTAAATAAAATGGGTCGCGGACCGCGGGTGCATTTCATGTGGCGTGGTCCAAAGACGTGTTTTAGATAGCATTGAATCTTCCTAAAATCAATTAAAACGGTTAATAGTTTAAAATTATACCATAGGCTAAAACATGTATTAAAATCAGATAATAGGCCAAATTATGATAGTTCAAGCGACCTTGTTAGAACCACGGAATCCGGGGGTGCCTAACACCTTCCCTCGGGTTGACAGAATTCCTTATTCAGAATTTTTGGATCGCAGACTTCAAAAGGAAAGTCGAATCTTCCTCGATTTGGGATTTTAAAATAAACCGGTGACTTGAGACACCAGAAAACAAACCATCCCAAGTGGCGACTCTGAATAAAATTGAATAAATAATCCCATTTCGAATAATGTCACTTAGATTAGAAAACTCCCTTATATATACCTTCGGGTGTGTAAAAAGGAGGTGTGACACTGGCTAATAAAGCTCATGTAAACTGATTATTATGTGTAAGCAATGATAATTTATTTTCCTAAAGCAGTCATAGTTCAAGTCTGAGACTACTACTGACTCTGGAGTAAAGATCGTTGTTTTACTAAGTGAAGGTTCAATGTAGAGCACACCTTCATTATGCATAACAGTCTCTCTTCAACTGGTAAAATTCTTTTATTTTAATATTAAAATGAGTGAAAAAATATTAGTATAATAACATTTTATTATTAAAATAAAATATACTATAACTCCTACTACTCCATGATGTAGAAAATGACCATAACTCCCATAACTCCTACTACTCCATGATATAGAAAATGACCATAACTTTTTTATAACTCTTCTCCCATGTTCTACCACTAATTACATAATAATTTAACCATTATCCCATGTTCTCCATGATTTCATAACTTATAACCCCACTTTCTTCCAATTTAATTCAAGGAAGAATTCCTACACCTATAAATAATAGGCTTTCTTCCATAATGTGGTGTGAAAAAATAATTGTAGAGTGTTTCACTAAAGTGAGGTTAAAGTTGTGAAAAAAGTAGAAGTGAGTTTTTACTTTGGATCTCTTAAAGGCAGCTGAACATCACGCTTTGGATCCTACAGCTCTTCATGGAGTTACTCAGTTCTCTGATTTAACGGCATCGGCAGAGGAATTTGAGAGGACGTATATGGGTGTTAAAGGTGTTGGCCGAAGGACTTCCTTGTTAGGGCAAGGACACGCGCCGCCGCTGGAAGTGAAGGGGTTGCCGGAGAGTTTTGATTAGAATAAGGGTATATTTGTCTTTTTAGTATATCTTATCGGTTTATCGATAAACCGATAGCCGAAGAGGACAAAATCGAAATCGATAACTCGATAAGGAAAATTTCGAAATCGAAATCGAAAAATCGTTAAACCGATATCGATAAACCGATAACAAATAATCGATTCGATTTATCGATAAACCGATTCGAATGCACACCCCTAGTGCTGAACCCTAATGCAGCCCCATCATGACTGGAAAATGGTCCGAGACCCCTCCTACAGTCCTCACACACGTCTTTGCTCCCTCATACATATATTTATGAAAGAGAAAAAAGAATGAATAAATATATTTAATGAAAGAGATGTTGAAAAAGTAAAATTTAATATTTTTATTTGCTTGTCATTCTATACTCTGCCACGGTGCCACCCATCATCCAAGAGGGTATATTCCAGTTCGAAATAGTTTAGGGGGTAATAGGTCCCCGACATAATTTAAGGGTGCAAAAACAAATTCGACACCAGCATGGAGGTTTTTATGCATTTTCTTCCCTCATTAAAACTTATAAAATCAACTGTAAAATATGTTTTCTTCAAACTTGTAAGCGTGTCATTTAACAAAAATAAAAAAGAAGAAAAAGGAAGAAATCGCCAAAACCTCGCTTAATCGCCATCACTGTAACACCTGTTAAGTTCTCCCGCCCTTTTTGTCTCTGTTTCATACAAGACGGAACCCTAATCCATTTTTCAATTGATTTTTAGTAAGTAAATTTTTAGATTGTAAATTGGGTTGTGAGTGTACGTTTATCATTAATATTTTGAGTTCTCAACTTATCTAATGCAGGTTGTTGAAGATGGTTGAAACACTTTTCGAAGATATATTTACTGTTACTCAAAAGGATCCTGATGGTAAAAAATTTGACAGAGGTATGCCCAAATTAATCTATTTATGCTCTGTAAACAGTTAGTAATCAAATGAATTTTGAAATATGAGCCAACACGCAACCTGTAGATGTCAATGTTGATGCAGTAAGTTTGAATTAATCTACTAGACTTTTTACCATTGCAATTCTTACTTATGACGGTGGTGTCCAGACAAGCTTGCGCACATCTTGATTATTTCAAACCGGGTACCTACTACCTGGCATAGGTACCTGGTGACTCTGCGCACCAAAGCTTGTTCAGAAGGGAGGAAATCACCTAGTGCTTTGTTTCCGCTGGGATATGAATCTAAGACCTTCTCCTCCCAATATTTATATGGAGAAGGGTAGAGGTGCGGACTTATTATCCATCGAGTTTCGAACTGTACACCACTTGCCGTCGGTGATTTCTCAGTTGCCAAAAGAATAATTAGGAGAAATAAAAAGGTTAAAGAAAAAGAAGGTGGTATTTAGAAAACTAGTCTTGTTACCTGGCCTTTAATAAGAAAAAAGGAAAAGAGGAAAAAGTAATCATGTAGTTGACTGTAAATGCTCCAGTTGAATTGTGATAAAGTTTTGTGCCTCTGTAATGGCTTTCTTAATCATACAACGGGCTGAGGAAGCAATAAAATATAATGCTAGTGCAGTTTTCTTGGCAAAACCAATTTGTGGCATATGACGGACGGACTAAATCTGGTTTATTGTTGGCACCATAAATTGTTGAACTGCAGTAACACTTCTTTTCTGCAAATGATGTGATCTAATATCATGTGCATTTTTTAGTTAATCGCATTGAAGCACGGAGTGAGCAGTTTGACATGTACATGCTGTTGGATGTGAACACTGAGATATATCCTATGCGCGTCAAAGAGAAATTTATGATGGTTTTAGCATCTACTTTGAACTTGGATGGGACACCAGATACAGGTTATTTCATTCAGGTAATTTACTCTTATGATTTGTCTATCCTTCTAGATTTCCAATAGTGCTACTTGACTGATATAATTCTAATTGTGTAATTTTTATATATCATAAAGATGGTATCTGAAGTAACTTGAAGTCTCAGAGATATTCCTACACAGTAGGTCTTACTAGTCAAACTGCATTAGAAAGATTAAGAAAAAGAAACTGAAAGCAATAAATCCAGTCAAATTTGAGGGTGTTTAACTTACAATGATGAATCACTTTCATCAAGTTATAAACATCAAGTGCCTTTATAATCATGTCCAATATATGTATATACCTTTTTCAAAAGAAAACAACTTGCTATATACTGGCATTTGGAATGTACTGTTTTTTCATTTAAAGGAAAAAATACATATCTGGAACAAGTGAGCGAGCCCTTTTAAGAAAATATCTTAGTTCCGTAACCTTGTCTATCTTGAATGATTTTTGAAATCTCATTTAATAGAGAGCTAGTGTATTAACTAGAACTAGAAACTAACGAAAATATCAACTTTTTGGTGGTTTCTGTTTTTATTTGTCATAGGATACATTTTTGTTCCATAGAGCCGCGGTTCCCTTTTTTTTTTTTTTTTTT